CTTTCTCAAATCAGCGGCCCAACATCGATTCAGCGGCCGTGAGTTTCAATTTCAATAGAATTGCGAGAACTTCAGGCGTCGTTTTCGGGAACGTCCCTTCCTGAAACGTCCCGGTAGATTTTATGTATTGCTAAAAGAAAATTATTTTGGACTTAAATTTACATTCAAATATAGCTTATCAGACACTACCTTTAGCTTAGCTTTCGACGACTGCAAACCGAGGCGCACATCATTGAGTAAAAAACGTCTGTAGGATTTGTTGACAGCTTAATTTTGGGAGTGTTCCTGCGATATTTACTGTGTGCACGGGCGACGGTGTGCCCCGCTGCGACAGAGTCCAATAAAACCCGGGTCGGCCGGCATCGTTCCATTAGCTCGGTCCTATAACCCGCACACCCCCGCGGCGATCGGCGTCGTGTCCCGCCTGTGACCTCTGATTTGTGACTGGGTCGGACCCAATACTGGATATAGGAGCTCTGGCCGGCGATCTTGGTTGGGGCTTCTATATTTAACTACATTTCTGTGCGATTACATCAAACTATTCTTTTAAATCTGATCCTAAACCTCAAGCATGTTTTTAAACTGCTTCAATCATCAAATATCACTAATCAAGTGACGAGATAAAGCTTACAGTGTTAGTAGGTGCACTGCCTACTTCCTTACACGCCCACGTCTGCAATCGCTCGCCTGGCACCCCGTCCAGCCTGCCGCACCGACCGTCAATCTGCACAGGTCGGTGGGTGCGGCCAGAATCTGACGGTCGTCGACCGATTGTGCCGCGGCCAATGTGACCGTCGGGACCGACCATGTCCATCCACAGAATAACGGCGGCACGGTGGTCGAGCCGGTTGGACGCAGGGCGACCGAAGGCGAGCAACAATTCTGTTCAATTGTTCATTGTTTATCAATCAGTTAATAATTACTACTCGGTTAGTAATTAATCACATGTAGTAGCTACTGCTATACTTAGTTACTACACAGTACACAGCCTGATACTTCACATGAGGCCCAGATGATTAGGTATGTTCATTAACCCGCGACCGCCTGGGGGGGTCGGATCCGACCCCCCCTCCGTTTTTCTTGAATAACTCATGAACCACTTTCGCTATCTACTTGAAACTTGGCATACCTTCTCCCCCATCAATTTGACGTCTCCTGTGCAATTTTTAAGAAAAAATTTCTAAATTTTTTTTGAGATATATCGATTTTAGTGATGTTACTACATGGCGTTGTTAGTCAAGAAGTGGTAAATATTTAAAAAATCGCCAAAAATCAGGGTCTAGAGCAAATTGCTAATTAAGGACATGAAAAGACGCAGCTCGACGAGTTCTTTAAAATGGCTATCTCGGATTTTCCATAAAATGCGTTTTTTACCCCTAAAAATTCAAAAAACTATATTTTTTGGAAAACAGCTAATAAAATCCAAAATTTTGGGAATTTCCAAAAAACCGGAATATATGTTGTAGAGCTCTATTAGAACATTAGGTGCCCCAAATTTCAACTTTCTATCTTGATTTTTGACCCCCAATTTGCAAAAAATAGCTCCAACATGCATAGTGCATGGTGACGTCATAAGCATTTTCGTGAATTAGAGGCACTTCTGAACATCGCATGTGAAAACAAATGGCACCACTAGATTCCTGGGACAAAGCTCGTCTAGAAAAGTGCATTTTTATGTCAAAAATAAAAAGTTGAAAAATTGACCTTTTTTCTCAGCCCTCGTTTAGTTATGTATGGTATAAACGATTTTTTTATGCTTTCAATGCACACTTATCACCAGCACAGTGACTTTGGGTCACATATAGCCATTACCATCGGATTCGGCGTGAAAAATAAGGCATAAAACGTGTCGCACGCCTATGTAGCAGAAAGTGAAAACCGTGACCTTTCGTGACCTGACCTGACCTTGACCCGTACTTAGTATGACCCCTATACGCACATGGTACCTTCACTAGGCCTTTGAGGTCATTTTTGTTGAGTTTCGAGCAGCAGCTATCGATTCTGCTGTCCGTAAGCCTAATCATGCAAAACCCCTGAATTTGACCTTTGACCTGACCTTGACCCGAAAGTTGACCTCAATCTTAAAATCTAAGAGTGCTTTGGGAAGGTCTCGTAGAGACCTTTCGAACGCCGCCTCGCGGGGCTCGATACGACCATTGGTTCTCGAGATAACAGGGGGGGGGGGTCGGATCCGACCCCCCCAGGCTGTCGTGGGTACGGAAATAGCCCAGGCGGTGCCGGGTTAAAAAGCAGCATACATTGGCATCAATTGACGAAGAACGTCACAACAGCAGTCAGCAGAGCTATAACATCAGTCACATTTAACTTTCTCTCACCGTTTCGAGGATGCCGCTCTTGGTGTGATCGCTTCCAGCCACTGCAGCAGCTCCCACTCTGGTCATACGTCAGACCATTCTGCTTAACAATTAGCGTGTACGCGTGGGACACGGCCGCCTAATGGCTCAGGAGGTTCGATGCAGCTAAATGGTTAAGTAGTTCAGCGGCGAATTTCAATTGGCGCCAACTGAGTTATTCCCTAACGGCGATAAGCCAAAGCTGGCAAGTGGTGTATGCTGCTAGTTCTCTACGGACTAGACTTCACATGTGCAATGGGATGACGAAAGCATCATTTCAAAGTTATTTATTTGAGTTGTACTGATTTAAAAAAGCAAAATATGTATATCCAAAATATATAAAACAGAGAGAGAGAGAGAGCGAGAGAGAGGGAGAGGGAGAGGGAGAGGGAGAGGGAGAGGGAGAGGGAGAGGGAGAGGGAGAGAGATAGATAGAGAGAGAAAGAGAGAGAGAGAGCGAGAGGGAGAGAGAGAGAGGAAGGGAGAGGGAGAGGGAGGGTGAGAGTGAGAGGGAGGGTGAGAGGGAGAGGGAGGGTGAGAGGGAGAGAGAGCGAGGAGAGCTACTATGACTGATCTGAACAGCGCATCCTCAGCAGGATCGCTACCCCCGTCCCACAAGATATACCCCACGGACCACCCAACGGACCACGCTTACCCAATATCACCCGGAGTAAGCCATTCCCCACAACTGTCCATAGCGACTTTCATCACCCGCCGTAGAATCATGTTGGCCCGTGTCATCTGCATCCGGGAGGCCGGCGTCGTGCTCTCATATAATACCGGCCGACAGGCATGTACCGGCCAATCAGCATCGTTCATAGAGCCGGCCTGACCGCCGGCGGGCACATATAGGGTCGGCCCTTATGTACCGATATTGGATAGGCTCCCAGCTCACCGCCGCTGTCACTGCCCGTCAGTCAGGGTCAGCTATACACCACGTCTGTCCTCTTCGTGTATTTTTTTTCGCAAGTGGTACCCAGAGCATGTTTACTCAGCTCTCCATCTTACAGCTCTCTTATTTGTCTATCCTTGCTTCA